CACAGCACCCGGGCACCTTTGTAAAGTGCGGCAAAAGAGCGGGGGATATATATATATATAGATACTCTTGCCAGGATTTCATTCCTGTTTCTGTGGCGCCAAAACTGTTGTCAGGCGTCAGAGTATTGCAAGCCCCGTCAATGTCAAGATTTTCAGGGGATACTTGAAGTTGTTGAGAACGTAAACTCAGCCACAGCAAGGCCACCAGGGAGGTTTGGTGTCCCATTCTTCGCCACAACTTTTTGCCTTTGTCAATGCGATCGGATTTGCCTTCGACAACGTTGAGTTTGCCAGGATTACTAGATTACGGTTGAGAATCCGCTGCAGAGATCTGCAGAGGGGGCCATGGGTCGGACAGTCGGACATGAGTCGGCCATGGGCCCGACTGGCTTCGACTGGTCCGCTGCGCAGGTGTCCCGCTCACTCCAAGCGTGTCAGGGTGCAGTGCTTCTTTGCGATGCTGTGCAAGGCACGAAAACTCAAGCCTGGAGACCGGCACGATTTCACTGAGCGATGTTGTTATGAGGTACACCCGGCAAGTTAAACATAGAACTTACAGTAGAACCTGAAAGCAGACCACTGGAAGTACAGGTGGCTTTCAGGATCTATGTTTGACTTACTTTCAGTAGTATACACGCATGCAGGTGCTTGTCTTCAAACAGCAAAGACCCAGTGTGGCACCATCCATCAGGTCCTTCCGGTCTCGGGTCGGCTTGTCTTCGAAGTTCTTTTTTTGGCTTTTCAGCCGGTTTGGATCGGTGCGAATCACTCATCCATGAGGCCCAAGCTGAGTGATGTTGGTTCAAAACATGTTGGAACGTTTGCGCGCAGATGAGGCATCCAAGCACAGACAGTGTCCACCTTCCACCAGGCATTCGAAGCCGACCTGGAGGTGCGGCCTCGACGATCACCGAGTGTTTTGCACCAATGAAATACTCCTTTAGCCGCCGGGATGGAGGTTGAAGTCCATGTCCTTACCCATCAAAAGGCGTTTCGCGGGACGTTTGACACACGTGGACTGGACGGCCGAAGGCGCAAAAGTCGAACGCTAGCCTTCGGAGCGTTGCGTCTTTCCGTCTTTCCCAGCTAGCGGAAAGAAGGAAGGCTTTGTATTGGAACCATAAACATCATAAGCTCTTCGGAGAGCTGCATGTTCAACTTGAATGTTTGATGTGTTTGGAACCTTTGGAAGGTGCTTTGCGCCATCAGCAAGGCGTGGCAACCTTTGCATGGGTAGTGGTTGAGAGGTTTAATGGGGCTTACTGTTTACTCCAAGCCCAAAAGAGCACTTTTGCTTGGGCTCTTTGGCTTTGTTGATGCAGGTGGATTTGGAACACGCGCAGAAAGAGGAAGTGAAGAGCAACTTGGCAAAATGTGAGCCTTGGCCTTGGCCCAGATCTTTTTGTTGGGGGGTCCGGGGTCCACAGCCCACAGCCATTTGCTCCAATTCCACAATCAATACTTGAGTCAACTTACCCAGTCACAGCGTGGCAAACATCTCGTCATTTTGATTTGGTGGAGCAGACATAGCCTGGTTGAAGGTTTCACACTGAGGCTTTTATGGTGTGCACAACCATGTCAGAGTACTGAGCAACCCAATCGCAAAGCAACCAGGGCTGCATAGGCCGACTGAATGCTATGTATTCTTTCCAAAACACCCCTTGCATACGACGTCGACTAAGTTCAAAGGCCTTTAAAACACAAACCGCAGGACTCAAGACTTCTCTCAGGACTAGGAGCAAGGACGCTACCGCCTTACTACTAGGAGCAAGGACGCTACTAGGGGCTCCTGGCCTTACTACTAGGAGCAAGGACGCTGCTAGGGGCTCCTAGGATTTTTCAGATTGCTGCCGAACACGCCAGGACAACTGTCAGTGCTCACCGGCGTGGCCACAGAGCAGGTCGTGGAGGCGAGATCCGGCCGGCCTCAAAAGAAAAGGCAGTCTATTGTATTTTTATGTATTTTTTGTTGCATGGGCGCAGATGAGATGGGATTGTTTTGGTTGTTTCGGGTTTCTCGTGAAGGATTTTGGACCCGCGCAGCCACCTGACGACCAATCACAACCCGGCATATTCGAGAATGATCGCAACAACAACAACGACCGTGACGCATTTGAGCAGCTGAATCGATTTTGTCTATGTCGATCTGGGTCGTGACGGGATTTCTGCAACTTATCTTTTTGCAGCGACAGTGGTCCTTTTCTGACTTTTTTTCTTGACCCACTCAACACCTGTGATTCAACAACCAACTCCAGGTCATCAAGTCATCAAGGAGGATGCGTCATCTGAAAGAAGGTCTCACTTGCACCCTAAAGCTCTAGATCACCACACCTTTGTTGCCCGACCCAGCGAACTGTCCTGGTCCCTGGTGTGGAAAACTCATGCCAGAGGTGAGCGGGAAGACAGGCACAGGGGTCCAAGACGCTGGGTGGAGATGAGTGATTGACAACTTGGGGGCTGTATGATGTTATTGTTTTGACACCTTATCGTCTATACCTACCTATATATAGTATATACTGCATATAGGATATCCAAACATATAATTACTGTGAGCAAGTGTTCTGTATAGTCAGCCAAGTTGGGAAACCTCAGCTACATACGATGATGTTTGCGTGAATCCTAATAGAAGACAGGTGCTCTCGGCTCATCTGAGGATTTGCTGCAAGCAATCATTCAAAGAGTTCCTCCTCCACCAGGCCTGGCTGGCCTAGCCATTGAGACATCACCGAAGATTGCTGTTTGATCGCATCCGTTTGTCAAGGTTCCTCAACTTTGCCCTTCAAAGCCTTGCTCTTCGATGCAAAGTACGACAGCACTTGGGCCAAAGACATGATGTCTCCGGTACCGTGCACAGACGGGTGGTGGCTTTACCATGCTCAAGAAACAACGACCTTTTCTTGCTCTACATGTTTTTCATGTTCTGAGTTGTTGGCTTGCTCCAAGTCTTCGTTTTGCCATGACCTTGTAGGTTGGCTAGGTCGGCAATCAAGTTTCGTGCTGCCTCTGTTATGCTCAAGCATACAGGCAGCACATGCGCAGTCGATTTCAATCAACCCCACCAAAAAGCTGGGAGCGCGATTGAATTCATTTTGAGGACTAACTTAACAGTAGAAAATTACTTGTATGACAAAGCAAGGCTCGAGGAGCATGCTCCGCACGCGATCGCGGGCTCCGAATGAAAAACGCGCAGTGATTGTATTACAAAGTTTCCAACTCTTCCTTCATTGGCAGGAAACTGTTCACTCCTTGCCGGTCAGGGGGGTATTTGCGTGGGAATTGGCATTGATCAGCTCGTCTGAGCTTTGGATATGTTGAAATGGAACTCAGCGATGAGGTTACGAGTTTTGGTGGGTTGGCACGTTTTCATAGGCGTGTTGATAAGGGCGGAACAGCAGCAGGTCAGGTCTTCCGCACAGACTTGTGTTGCTCATTCTCTCTGCGTGGGAATCCTGCATGTCTGCAGTCCAAGCACCAGTGGAACTTCGGCATGGCATTTTAAAGCGGATGTGCGTATGACCCACGTCATCGTGTTTAAAGCGTCACTGCATGTCTTGCCGTTGCCAGCTGAAAGGCGGCTGCTTCTGGTGTACCAGGCTGCACGCCCTCCTCCTTGCTGCAGACCTTCGCAAAATCTGGGGCTATAATCGAAATAGAAGTTGGGAAAAAGGAGGAGCGAGCGAAGAAACCTTCAGGAGCACCAATGAGAGTTGCTGCAGCCAGCGACGCAGTTGCAGGATGGAACCACGTGTTGACAACAACCTGCAGGTCAAGGCATAGCGCTGGCGTGTGAAGGAAGTGCCATACCGTTTGCCCGACAATGCTTTTTTTTGCCAAGGCCATAGTGGGCTGGGCCATCTTCAATGATGAGCGTGCTTCGTGGCATACTATGTAGCGGGGGCTAGAGCTCGGTGGCTGTGAGGGTAGCGCTGACGAAGAGAAACGAAGAGGGGTCCGAGCCCCTCAGTTCTGAGGTTGGGGTAGAAGACAGCAAAGCGGAGAATCCGATGTCCACAATCAACGCTGCGGCCAGAGCTATACGGGGCCTCAGTGAATCCGCAAAATGATTGCTTGGATGAACTTCAACTGGACCCAGCGACGCAGCGATGAGCGAAAGAAGGGGGCCAGCCAATCAGCTGCGTTGTAAAGACATATTGGTTGCCAGGTTACAGCTGGAACAGCAATGCGGTGAGGGTATAGGGTCTCGCAGGTGGCAGTCGGGCGGGGCCTTTGAATGGTGACAGCCGGGCAGGCCCTCCCGAATGAAGCTCACGCAGCGTCAGTTCTTGCGCAGCGTTTGAGTGCTTGGGTGTAGTGAGGGTCTTAAGGAGTCGAAAGTCGAAAGGCCAGTCGTTAGTTTGCAAGGTCATGAAGAACCCCATGATCATGGCGTCTGAGTTACAAGGGAGCTGGAATGATGTGGTGGAACAGCGCGCTGGGCGAGGAAGGATGGCTTTGAATGCCATGCAGCTCAGCAAGGACAAGGGCAACGGGAAGTCAAAGAAGGTCAAATTCCTGCACGACGTACCGGGAGAGAAATGCAAGATGAAGAAATGGAATTTGTTTTTCAGACAAGCGTCCCTTGTATGAGTGTACAGCAGAATTTGAAGTCCGCCCGTGCAGTCAGGGCGCATGCCTGGTGGTTTGGAAAACATCATCCCCGGACAAGATGCGCAGCAGAGCGCACTGCTCCATTGCACTCGAATGAGGAACTGCCAGTCCTTGCTCAAGCAAAGCTTTCCCGAAAATCCCTTGTGCCTTTTTTGCGTGCGCTTCACGCCTGTCAATTTGCCAAATGGCCTTTGTCGACTTGAACGAAATATGGGGAGGGAGAGTCGCTTTAAAGCTGACGGTGAACTTAGCTGCATTTTGATGCAAAAAGAGAAAGATTAGAACTCCTGGGCCTAATGTGGCCTGACTTCACCATTCAGAGTAAACGGGCGTGAATCTTTCTCAATTTTGATCAACTCCATACAGCCCTGCAGGCGCGAATGAAAACACACAATATTTTTGTAGGCTGGCGGCTTATTTATATATACACACAGGCGCCTACATATATGTCCGGCCACACACACATACAAAACATGTATACATGTATACATATATAGAGACATACGCCGTCCACATACAGCGTGTAACTGCACATCATTACACCAGCCGCCCATCCCACCAGACACCTGTCCAATGCTCCGGTCTTTGGAGTGGGAGCGTGCAGCCACTGAGGCCGGCGAGGGATGGTCTTGTACGTGGCCGTGCAGGACATTTTTGTGCCGCTTGCTCGTGTGCTTCTTTGTCAGTGTCCAGTCCTTTCGCATGTTTGTGGACACGAAGCCACAGGTCTGTGTGGGTGTCTCGTATGTGGACCCTGAGTTCTGGAGGATGGGGAACTAAAAAAAGGGAGCAAGATCTTTTGCTCCTACAGCCGCCGAACCCATTTGGCCACGGCGACGTGGCAAGAACCGGATCTGAGACATTGTGACATTGATCGATGTATCCCTGCAGTTGGCGTTTTTGTGAAACCATGTAAGAGGTGCGTGGACCCCAAATGTCAAACCTGACGTGGTCCATGTGTTGAGCCGCCCGGCCCTTGGTCCTGCCAACTTGTGGGCCCTAAGGACATTGGTTTTTTGTACCCAGACCTCAGCTCCACAGAGACCATTCAGAGTGGCCAGATTGGCTTTGTGGTCGTGGGCGCAAAAGATGCGTGGCTTCATTCAGAGCTTGTGTATATGACATATTTAAGTTGAACATTGGATGAAGCAGATGGGTGGAGGAAATAGGTCTCGTGTTCCAGACTTAGGTTGGAAAACGATTATTATGTGTCATGTGTCCTTCTTTTTTCCAGCAACAGCTCTGACTTACCAGTCGAAAAGTTGGCTAAGGACATCCGCAGCTTCCGTGTCGGGGAGACGGTCTTTGCCGAAGGCTGTGGCTCCAAAGGTCTCGCAAACCGTGGGCCCAATAATTTTGCACACAAGAACATCAGCCCATGCTGATGTTGATGTTCTATCTTCGGTTTGTTTTGACTTATACTTATACCCTTTCGCCCACATGCTGGTTGGATTGTTGGCAGCCAACTGGCTTTATAACAGTTTTTTGTTGGGGCCACCGGCTTCGCACTGGTGCTCGGGCAACGATGTATTTGTCACCAGCTAGCTGGAGTGATGAATCACGATTTTTTATGATTATATATATATAGTGTTTTTATCAGTGGATCCCAGCCAGGAACATGGTAAGGGAAAGCATGGTCTACCTCCCAGGGAGAACGGCGCAGCGATTTCGTCCTCTTCACATCTTAAACGGCAAACTGGGTGCAGCATGCTTTCACCACTTTTGGAGTGGAAGGACCGCTGAGGGTCGGAACTGTTACTTAATAACATTTATGTCAAACTGGGTTGCGCTTTCTTATCAACACTCGGGCCAGCAACTGATTTCCCGAACTTCAGCTGGGAGCAGCCAGATCTTTGGTCAAACCTTGCACCCACAGCTCGTTGCGCTTGACTTGAGCTAGCTGTGCGAAGGCCGAAGGGTCAGCAGCACTTCCAAGCCTGTCATCCGCAGTGAGGGTGTCAACAAGGGTTGGGGAGGGCATAAGCAGTGTTTTGCTGCAGGCGGCGAAAAGACCGGGGAGCCTTTCCCTGGCTTCCGTCCTGCACAGCCCATGGTGTATGCAGGCATCTTCCCAGAGGTCCGACTGTGGGGAATGTCTTCCTGCATGAAGCCACACACACACATTAAAGACCTTAATGCGTCGTCCGACCAACCTTCCCTGCCAAACCAGGCGGTGGGTGACGGGGAGAAACTGGAAACCGCCATGCAACGGCTTTTGCTCACGGATGCATCGGTTGAGGCCGGGGACACTCTCTTGAGACAAGCGGATTTGAACATGGTTGCCTTTTCAATTGGCCGAACGATTCGCAGTATGCGCTTCATACTCTAGGCAGGGCGAACTCTTTTTTATCGCAGTATCCAGGTTTATGTTTGCACCGGTTGCATTACTTCTTTGAACGTGACGTGGTGACGTGGGATTGGACTCACCACAACTCCTTTGTGACTCAGCCCGCTGGAGGCGAAACGAGATATCTCACCCGTGTTGGGTGCTGGGTTCAGGCTTGGTGGGTCAGTCATTGATAATGGAAGTTAAGGCAGCATGAAATACGGCACTGTGATAGAATGAATGACCCCGTACCATTCAGATTTGACAAACAAATGCATGGTATGGTGGTTTGGGGATGTATGAAAACATGTGCTGTAGACAGAACGACGTTGTCATCGTGTTGTACTGGTTTTGAATCGATGCCGGGGCGCTGGGACGACAAATGCAAGGGATCATTCCACGTGGACCGGAGTTATTGGGAGAAGTCTGGACAACGCATGTGATGTTTCATTCGGAGTGGCTTCAGGTGCGGCTTTCTGGGCCTTTTGCACTTGGACGTTTTTCGGCAACGTCTGACCAGCGAGTATGGCGCGGAGACCGAGTCTGCAGCGAAAACCTTGCTGACTTTCCTCAGAGTACCTTGCTCAGACCGGTACTTTGGAGTACATTCTCGCCATTTTTTTCGATGTCGAGAATCTAGACTCTAGACAGACAATGACTTCCAGAAGATCACACACCACACTTGAAGCAACAAACCCATGAATCACCCTGAATCCGAACACAAAAAACAGCACACATAAACCGGACAGAATAGGAACAACGGACGTTTGCAAGGAAAACCTCCAGAAAACACTGCAAGAGAATGTGCAAACCAAAAACATTCCATGCTATAACCCGTCCGAGAGAAGAAAAACACCACTTGGACAAGATGTCCCTTGAAGGTGCTACTTGGTGCAGAAGCGGAATCAATTTTTTACATTTGCTGTTCTTTTGAGAAAATCTGAGGGTTTCTTTCGCTGCCATGGAATCCACGGTGCGGACAAATGTGCTCCCAGGTGTAGATGTTCTGGCGACCAATCCCACTGTGCCCTATCGCCTGACCCTGGCGAATGGCAAGGAGGTCACAGGGATTTGGGACTTTTGGTTGCAGGTGCGGATGGAGTGAGGATTGATTAAAGAAGCCAGTAAGTCGAGGAGACATGACCAACAACTGTGGCTTTCTGGAGAGTAGTTTGAAGCGTTGCTGGATTTAGCACAGCTGGGCATCATTACATGTTGAGCAATGGATCAGGGACCAAGGTCTTACAACCTCGGGCAAATGTACTCACACTTGAACATGGCATCTCCCCTGTTTACGGGAAATACATGGTATGTAAGGGAAATACACGGCGCCGCGCGAACACTTGGTCAAGACAGGTGGTTGTGGAGCATGCGGGGGACTTCCCATCGCCGCCACAGATGCCGCCCAAGGAGGTGCAGGACAGGTCGGGGTAATCATCAATGTGTTGGACTAGACACATGACTCTCAAATGTGACTACCCGCTAGGAGCAAGGACGCTACTAGTACCTCCCGGCCGTACTACTAGGAGCAAGAAGCTACTAGGGGCCACTAGGTAAGTTTCTTGCGTTACCCACTCGTTCCCAGCAGGAGCCTTTGGTGACTGCAACCATTGTCGGGGCTCCTCAGCGGTCCTAAAATCAGACTCGGTTTTGGAGACACAAACCGCCCAAACTGCATTCTGGCATACCCACCAGCTCCGCCGTCCATCTAATGTGCAAACCATTACTGTACTGTATATAAATATAAGCCAATTTTTGAACACAGTACGTCATAGGACGTCATTAAAACGGGTCCCATGTATAAAACCCCATTTTGGACTCGACCCGTGGAGATCTTTGAGGTGTGCCCTCGCGAGCTCACGTCCAACGTGCAGCAGCTCTGTGTCGAACGCCGTGGAGAGGAGAGGCAGAAGACGGCAGAGGTTGCAATGCTCAGTGGAGAAACACTGGAAGTAAGGAGTAAACACTGGCATTGTTGCCACGAAGCGAAGAGAGAGAGAGAGAGAGGGAGAGACAGAGACAGAGACAGAGACAGAGAAAGAGAAAGAGTAGAGAAAGGAAAAGAGAAAGGAAAAGAAAAAGGAAAAGGAAAAGGACGGAAAAGGAAGGAAAAGGTAGGAACAGGAAGGACAAGGAAGGACACGTAAGGAAAAACAGAAAAGAAAAAGAACGAAAGAAAGAAAGGAACAAGGATTGACAGAAAGCAAGCAAGGAAGGAAGGAAGGAAGGAAGGAAGGAACAGAGGGAGGGAGGGAGAGTGACAGAGAGCCAATGGTTGACAAACATCAGACTTACAGTACATACTGGTACACACTTGAAGGACCTCACGTATGCTCCACGCAACCGAACCTTCATGAAGCTTCGACTTTAGACCTGTAGAGTGATCTTGCCAGGATAGGGGTTGGCGACACCCTGGGTGGTGCTTTAGTAGGGAATGAGTCGGAATGAGGTTGGATCAGTCAGTCACCTGCGGTTTTCATTTGCAGGAGCTCTCAGCGCGGGGGCTCGGGATTAATCTGACCGGAGCGGTTCTTGGCCCTGTGGGATGGTCCCTCCGTCCTTGCCACTTCGGTGGAAATTGGCCAATTGCCGCCGGATGTCGGGTTTGAGGTGGAGCCTCTGGACAACAGCGGAGAACGAGTGATGATGACCTGGAGGTGGGTGGGTCCTTGTGGCACTCAGTGATGTATGATCTTGCTACCAAACGGTGCTAGATGTGGCCGTGCAGAAAAGGAAAGCAATGCCATCTCTTCTTTTAGTGTTACACTTGCTTGTGTAGGGCTCCTAGGGCCACAAGTTGTCACAAGCTATGACAGTTTCAGGGATTTCAAATCTTTAAATTGTGCCATGTCTGCACCAGAAGCGATCATTTTGCACTCTTTCAAGAAACCATGGGAAACTCATGTCAAGGTTTGGTATGGTTTATGGATTTATAGATGCTTCTGGCACTGCCGCAGCATCTTTGGAACAACTGTCTCAAGAAAACAACTGCCTAAAGTGACACTTATTTTGGACCCTAACAGTTGATCTCCATGGATTCCACGGACCTGGAGTATCACCCAGATGTGGAACACCACAGTCCTGACAGGCTGCCATTGGCCGAGGCAGAAACTGGACGGGGTGGCGCGGCTAGAGTTGGGAAAGGCCGAAACTTGCTTCAAAATAGTGTAAGTATCTCATTTTCTGCTGCATACATCATACTCCACACTTCGTTTCATTGTAAATACGGCTGGCTCTCTGTTAATCAGACTTTGCAACTCTTGGAGCACACGGGGCGTGGCCCGTTCTGTGCACCTCGTGGAAGGTCATAACGGACTTCTTTGACCGGCTACAGGAGCGGGCCGCTGGTGTGATTGGGACCAGAAGCTGTCACTCAAACCTGACGGATGCCTTTGTTTGCCAGTGAGGTGGCCCGAGGTCCTGGATATTGGAGACCCCAGCAAATGATCCTGGGGAGAGAGACAGAGAGATAGATAGATAGATAGAGAGAGAGAGAGGGAGCATCCTCACTTCGCTACTTGTCAGGCACTCAGTCATGGCTTTGCCTCCTTTGATTACCAGCCTGCTGGATACCAGAAGGCTACATTTGTATTGGGATTGCTTGCGCAGGTGTGCCCACATGAACTGCTAATGCTAAAGAATTTCAGTGGTTTTCCTCTGATTTGCATGTCGGAGTCAAGCTGAGTGTCTAGTTTCTTCGATTTCCTTGACTGTGTCAACATGTACGTTTGTTGTTTTCTATGACTCACAAGTGGCCAGTGCCTCTGCGATTGTTCTGCCTCTACCAACATATCTGTGGAACAGTCGTTGCTGGCAAGGTGGACCTGGTGAAGGTGCCTGTGGACCTGGTGAAGGGTGGGTTGAGCATCACACTCATGGCAAGTGTGCTTTTCCCTTAAAGTCATCAGATGTTATGCATTTTATTGTGCCTGGACAAAGAAGCTCGGCTCTGAAGTGCATCCGGAATTCTTGTATTAGCCTTTGGCGGTTGGGGCGGTTCTTGACTGCTCTGATTCCAAAGTAAGAAGCTTCTTCATGCATTGTGCAGTTTTTCATTTTCTGTCCACAAATGATCGGCACCGAACTTTGGAAAAGCAAGTTGGAGATTCTTTCATGTGCTTCGGCTGGCCCACTGGTACACAGCACTTTGCAGAAGCAACCGGAACATTGTCACGAGTGCCCTTGTCAAAATACCAAAACTGGCTGCTTACTTGCCAGAGGTCAAGAGCGAGCCAAATGGCTTGGTGAAGCAGGATAGACTTCTAAGTCCCATAGACTTTAACCTGCTCGCGACGACTCTTCACTGGCCAATCTTGGACTTTCAGGATCTTTCAGGCAGCCGAAAGGGTCTTTTCATGGTCCCTTTATGTCTCCTTAACTCATCCTTCCGAAGCAAACAGTCGGTCCACGTTGGCCCCGAACCCACAGACGCCAGCGTCTGTCGGTCCCATCGGCGTCGGCAGGTCCTGGTTCGCCTCAATGGCGATGACGTCGACGCTCTGAGCTTCTTTGCTCTCCGTGACCGGGCGTCGGAGGCAAGAAGGGAAGGGTTTGGTCTGGAACAGCCTCGGATGCAGCGCTGTCGCTGCACTTTGGGGGAAACAAGTGGAACAAGTGAGCAAGCCGGAAGGTTGGTGTGTGGGATTTCCAAGTTGCAGGTCTGCATGGTAGAGGCGAAGTGATGACAACTTGGTGGAAGATGGGGGCTTTCTCCACTTCAAAGGATTCTTTGCTTGCAAGCTCGGTCACAAAACGGGAACTCGCCAAACTTGTAAGGATGCCCACAAAGATCATAGAGAAGTTCTATAGGATCCATATCTCCTTGAGATACTGGTATTGGACGCATTGGAGGAATTCAGGTCAACAGCCCGTGCAGGTGTCACGGAGGTACTTGGAGAGGTTGCAGAACCTTATCCCGGCGCTTCTTGGCAGCATGCCAACATGCGGCACAGATGGGTGATTCATAATACGTCTACAGTGACAGTCACGAATCGATCACTTCTGTTGGAGACCTCCTATCATGCAAGCCAACAGGACGATAATGTTCCAACGGTCCATGTGTCCACAACATCATGATTGGTGGAGGTCAGCCCACAGTTTGGGGGTTTGGTTCACTTGGCACATGGCCCCGCCGGCTGTTTTGCGACTTCTGAGGCAGCTGTTTGACATTGCCATTCAAGCGGTCGTGGGCGGCAAGGTCGTAGCCAAGGTCACATTGGGAGTTCTTCTTCCATCGATGGGTTTCCTTGGCGAACCCATCGATGCAAGAACCGGTGAAATGGTGAGTTCTTGCGGTGAGAGCCTTTTGGATTTGCTTCCCCGTTCTCTTGCCTGGCCGTACAACTGCTGACTGCCAATCTCGTATCTCCCTGGCCAGGTCCGCATCAAGCCTCTTCGACGGGAGCGCTGGTTGAACAGTGGTGGAATGGGATGAGGGAGGGTCAAGGGCCAGCCAACCATTCAATCTGGACTCCTTCCGGATAAATCTCTCTCCCTCTCTCAAAGTATATATATATACAGACATATACAAATATGTATAGGTATGAAAGATCATTCAATTCTGTCTGGATGTGCGTGTTGCTTTTGAGCCAAGGTTGCTTCCTTGTTGGCTAGACTTGTTTGTACCATTGTGGTTTTTATAGTTTTCAACTGCCAAAGCCAGTCTGCATGGATGAAGGTTCAGAACCATTGCCTCCAAGGTACAGCCCTGGTATAACCAGAAGCTGATGACCCAACATGGTCCAACATACTCTGATGGTAGATTGAGACGATTCGTGCTAAGTCCATCAATTATCAAAAGAAGGCTCGAATCCCTCAAGAACTCCCACAGCAGAATTTTCTCTGGGGAGGACGTGGTGGCGCAGAAGATCCTCAGCCATGGGCATTCCGGCGACCCCTCGCGAAAGGCCAAGCTGCTGGAGAGGCGAAGAGATCTCTGGAGCTCTTGCTGAACTCCTCCCGATATTCATAGCAAGCCATAGCCACAAGATGTGCAATGGTACTGGGATACTGAGCATATTTTACATTATCAAGAAGCAATTGACAGTATGATGCGTAGTTCCGGATTCAATCTACGCTTAGCTCATCTAGGAGGTGACTGTGTGACTCTGGGTGCCGTTTTGGTTGGACCGTGCTCAGTCCGTTCCCAGTGTCAGTGATGCAGGCAGAAGGAGGGGAAGCGACGACTCAGAGAGATCTCCAAGGTCCAAGTTCCTCCCGAGGAGCGACCTGGGTGGACCGGGCGGGTTCTTGGGTTTTTGGGCCGCCGGGGTTTCACTTCGCATAGGGTCCTACGCCAATTCGAGCTTGACTGTTGAGTTTTGTGGCATGGCAGATTGACCGGTCAATCTATTTCGTTGACCACAGGATGAACCACTGGATGATGGGTTGAACTTTGGTCAGTCCAAACGGTCACACAGTCCCGAGGCCTTTGTCGCAATGGTGAAGATGTGATTCGTGGGTCGCCTCGGCACTGAAGATTTGGTGGGCAAAAGCCTCAGAAGAGTGCTTTACCGCTTGGCTCCTTGTGCTTTGTGGTCCACCGAACCTTTGGATAGGCAGTTGCTGATCACACGTCGCAATCAATTTTCTGGACTACATCCACGCTTTGAGCAAGCAAAGAAGCATCTTGCTCGAGCTCATTTTCCGGCCAGAGCGGCCTACCTCGGAGAAAGGGATTCGCCCGTCTCATAGGCCTTGGTTGTTGAAGCCTCTCTGAAGTCCAACTATATTATATAAACCCTTCATAGGCCAATGTAGGCAGCAAGGTGCAGCCACGAGTCACCAGTCACCACCTCTTCGGGAAACTGTGGGGAACCAGGCCAATTGGACGACTGGCCCCGGATGAAGGCAGGATTGACCCCAGAGACTACTTCCACCAGCTTGTTTAGCAGTGGAGGTGGAGCTGCAGCTTTACTTGAAGTGACTCCCTGACAGGCCAAGTATAGGGTATGGGACGACAAGAATGCTATCCCACAAACATTGCCGAGATTGCTTGAGAAGAGCTACTCCAAGCCAAAAAGAGTCTGGACCTGGACAAAGTTGGATGTTGCACAGAGGTGATGGAGTGTTTGACATATTCCTCGGGCACCATGTTGTATATATATATAAACCCTATGACCCTATGCAAAAACTGAGGACATATTGGCATATGTATTGGCTACAGGGTGTTGAAGAACGCAATCAAACATTGGCATCCAATTGACACCTTGTCTACGACATCTAAACTGCAGTTCTTGGTCCTATTCAGAGAGAACACACGGTAAGGCCATTTTCAGCTACATGGTGGGACAAAGAGCGACAGACACTTCAATTTATGACAAATGCTATCACACAGTCACAGCCAACCTGTGACATCAGCTGTTCTGACCAACAACTCAAGTGAGAAATTGTAATTTCTGCAACAAACAACTTCTTCGGTGCCACAGCATGCTGCCACAGCATGGTGCCATCATACTGTGCCGATGCTTGGGAGGAGGGGCTAGTTGATCCATGTTCTGCGAGTTCTTTTCGCAGGCGCCATTTGTGGCATTCATAAAGCACTTACGACCTACTGCATATGATGGAACTACAACCCACTGCACCCACCTGCGCTGAAACTGGCACTGCTGGTTGATTTCCAACTGCCCCAAGGGAGGCCCTTCCACCCAGACACAGTTTGAAGAATATAACACAACCATACAAGCTTGATCCCAGCAACCTCTGACTTTAGCCTACCAGGTCGATTATTAGCCATCAAGCCCACTTTATTGACAATGGTACTTCCGTGTGACTATATATATCTTGTGCTTTGCCGAGGTTCAAGATAGTCCAGGTAAGGGGTATACAGAGACCAATACAATCTTGGTAGGGGGTAAGGGGGGTGAGGGTATTGTCCCTATTTCCGGATTGGTCTTGGGGAAAAACACTTTCCTGGACCTGGACAAGGTATCTTGTGGTGGTGTCCTTTGGACCCGTCTGACCCAACAGAGCCGGTTCTCCAGGCAGCAACGGTAGAGCTCGAAGAGGGAGGTGCATGGCGTGTCTTTGGCACCGGGAATGAGAGCGGTTCTCTTGAAGCGTTATTTTTGTGATCTGGGGTAGCAGTGGTCTTGAGCCAACGCAAGGGGCAATGGAAGAAGAGATTGATGAATAATTCCGCTCGAGTCATAGTTGCAAGCAAGCCAGGTCAACTGTCAAACGAAGCAGAGGGTTGAAACTCTCAAAGACTCCTTGAGCAAGCTGAGCTGTCTTTGCCACTCAATTGAGCAGATATATAACGTTGGCCTTGTGAAGCGTCAGCACACACTACATGTACTTGATTTGCTTATGGATGTTGTGGTGTGCGTTGGACACCAAAGGAGATCAGGAGGGCATATTACAGAACCCATGTGATGACCATAATATTCTGCAGGTTTGGCTCAATGCGTGCATTCTTCTTTTTGTGGAACCCCTCATTGAAAAGATGTGGACAGACGAACAGGAACACCTTCAGCCATCATGTATAGACAATTGAAGATGCTTTACAGCTGTCGTCCATCATCGTAACTCACCATTGAGCCGGCAACATGATTGCAGTTAGGGAGACAACTGTATAATATAGGGATAGACGGATAGACACTCAAGTCAGTGGTAAGGGCATCCCCGCAGGAAACTGCAGAGATGGCACGCCACGAGGCTTGTCAAGGCTGCTAAGTTGCTGCTGCCGTGAGGTGGTGCCTTTGATGCAAGGATTTCCTGCACCGCGCTTCGGCCAACCCTGTCTTTGGCCCACGGAACAGAAGAAGTTGTTTCGCGATTCTGAGGCTGTGCCGGACCCATGCTTACAACAGTGCCTACTAGAGAACCCATACAAATATAGTCATCAGAGGCTCATGCACTTTACTCCTATGAGGATCTTTGTTGGAGGCACTTACAATTTTTATGAGTCTCAATTTCTGCTGCCAACAGGAAACTGGGATACCTACGTATGATGTACATTTATCCTATTGCGAATCCATGAAATCAGTCACAACCTTCAACTTAACCCAAACGCCTGTACACCTCTTCGTAACTCTTCCGTACACCATGCAACGATCCGGCAACCTACTTTGACCTACTTAGCCCCGCTGTCATGACTTTCTAGGATCCCGTAAGTCGAGCCCCGGCCGACTCAATCACGATGTGCGGCTTGGCTAAAATTCCGCACAAAGGTCACCATTTTTTGTGGGAAAGCGGAAAGAGACCCGCAGCAGTTCATCTCTACTAGCTGAAAGAGTTGGAGAATATTTCCAACGTTAACTGTTGATTTAAAAAGATCATAAGGAGATGTAAGACCATTCTGCTAGGTAGGGGAGTTATGTTAATCAGTGAACATGATTCATATCATCTCATGGGTCGATTCTCCACCGCCCTCAAATCTGTGTCTTCACGACATTTCAGTCAAGATTTCTTCAGCATAGCCAAGTTTGGCGATTCTGCCATTTTGTTCCTGTGAGAAGTGTACTTATGCAGCCTATTGTGTGTGCTGTTTGAATGAGCTAAGAAGTGACAAGTGCAAGTGAAAAGTAGGGTTTTGCCAATCAAGCAATCAACACATAATTTTGCGGCAGTTTGTTGCGTCTAGTTGACCTACCATCATAAAATCAGTAATGTCGTCGTCCGGGTCCTAACGTTATCGTCATTGGCAAACCATTGTCATCCAAAATTTGTCAACTGTTCTGCTTGGTATTTGTCAGCCATGTTGAAAAGGAGCGGCAAACTCAATCAAGCCATGTCTCAGGTCTTTGCCAGCACCGAACAGGATTTATCTGAAGGTGCGAGTTTTCACCAACACGATGGGCAAGAAGCTTTGACATTGATCATTTCAGAAGGACTGCATTTGAGACTAAGGACACCCACGTATGTGGCTTATACTTGCTCCAATGCGGAACTCTAAGCAGATAATGCCACTGATATAACTGATATAACATAACTATGTGTTGAGATTGCACTTTTACATCAAACTCCATGGATCCCAGTCAGACACCTGGAAAATGATGAAACCTCGGATCAGGCAAAGCTTGCATGACTTGCGGATTTGCATCTCCTCTTCAGCTTGTGATGTTGAGATCAAAGCCTCGATTCGGAGTTTCGAACTCTCATTTCAGAGATCTAACCTTTTTTATTTCAACAATTCGTCCTCACTGGGTGCAGGATACCTTCCTGGCGTTCAGTCCAACCACCTACTAGTGGCGTGTGACTCTGAAGCTTTGCTGCAGTGCTCAAGAGACAGGAGAACATCTAGTCGCCTCACTCCAGCTGTTTGCTGCGACAATTATTCTCTCCACAAAATTGGGATTAGTTGTTGGTTGGTCGGTCGGTCGGTTGGTTGGTGTCGTACCTACTTTCTGCCAGAACTGTGTAGCTGTCCCAACCTTGTGTTGCAAAACCAGTAGTTCCACCATCTTGGTACTCTAGAGGCACTTCTGCAACTCTTCCAGGGTTGGTCCATGTTGGTGCCTTTCTTTCTAAAGGACTGGTGGTGCATAGGGTTACCAGGTTCAAAGACGTTTTGCAGAGGGGTGCGGACGAGGGATCATCTTGCAGGCCTTGACACAACAACATGAGGAGTACATTGCCACAGCCTTTGCAAGGCATTCTGTGTCCATTTACATCGCTTCTCAGATACAATTATTCTACTGGACAGACACGGCTTCTGGAAGGCCAAGCCATGGTTTGCGCGGTTACAGGGTTCTCCAGTCCATTGTCAAGAACCCTGCATTTTGCATGGAACAACGCCATACTCACACAGTTCCCAAATTGTAGGGTCCCAATCGCTTTGTGGCTGTACAAGTCTCCTTCAAACCAAGGTGTGCATTCTCCATCTCCACCGAGTCTTGGCCTAATGAATCTGAACGGCATGCAGTCCACTTGTGCCAAAGAGCATCATGCTGCCAGCTTCTTGCTCTGTACTGAATCCCCATCGCGACACTTATATACAGCTTCGCCGTTTTCCAAACTTTGAAAACCTCGTTCAGATATATGTTCAGATTCAAGAAGACGAGCATGAATGACTTGATGCACTTCGGAACCGATGATCGAATCATGCTGGGAGGATCCATTTTCTTTCCAACGAGTTCGATCTTGTGAAGGAAGCCCAGTCAAGCAGTCAATGCCCGAGGCCAGTGGGCATGTTGACATGCTTCAATAATACTGGGGTACAACAATATATAAGTGGCTTATGCTGCTTGGGTCCTTGAGAGTTGAGGAAAGTTGATCTGTTACTGTTAACACCATGCCCAGGCCGCGGGATGGATTTAGAGCCGTAGCGAGAGACTTGGAACCGAACCAGAGTCACTGTTTTGTTTGTTTTTTGCTGTTCTCCAGCATCCATGTGTGGATCATTGACTTTTCAGGCCTTCCTTCTTTATTGTGGTCTTCTGAGGCTTTACCTGAGTGAGGGCATGAGAACTGCATCTTTTTGCTGGCCAACTTCAGAGAATCCACTGTACTGTATCTGGACGAAGCTATGTGTTTCCACCAGTTGGAAGGGGCAGCACTTTGCAGCGGACATGAGATTGGCAGAGATCGACAGTCGTTTTAGGAGGCTGGCGCAGAGCGGTCTTGTTCAGTCTGGCCATTGGAGTTCTGATTGTTGCAAGGTCTGCAAGGTAGGTGAGGAATGCTGGTGGTGCATGGGTATGACTATGTATGACTTGTGGGAGAATCATTCTCGGTTGAGCAATGAGCAATGCGTTCTCATTTTTCCGTCTCAGGAAAAGCGTCTGACGGCGACCACGATGGATCATCGGTCCCTGCGGTCCTTGGTCCCTGTGGTCCTTAGTCCCTGGGGTCCTTGGTCCATCTTGCTTGGAAGCTTGGAAGCCTTGGGACCGCGCCCGGAAATGATTCT